GGTTGTTTATCTTTTTCCTTGTAATCCTTAAAAACAAAGCACTGTGTAGCCAGGCATGTTGGTACGCAGCTGTAATTCCAGCAACTTTGGGAGGCTGGGGCAGGAGGATCATAAGTCCAAGGCCAAACTCAGAAATTTAGCAAGGTCCTGAGCAACTTAGCAAAACCTTGTCTCAAAATCTTAAACTCTTAAACAAATAAAAAAATGGCTGGAGATGTGAGTCAGTATGAAGCACCACAGATTCTATCCCAGCATCAAAAACGGAAAGGGGGGGGTGGAGGTGGGAGTGAGGGGAAGCACTGTGAAGAGCATCATCTTCAACAATATTTCAATAGTCATAATGTTTTATTGAATTATTTTTATAGCAACCTTCAAGATAAGCTTAAATCTATAGTAACAGTTCAAAGGGGAAAAAATAAAGCACACTGGGACAGGGATGTAGCTCGATGGTATAGTGCTTGCCAAACCCTAGGTTAGATCCCCAGTGAAACACACACACACACACACACACACACACACACACACACACACACACCCGTGGTGGTGGTAGGGGGTCTATAATGTAGTCCATTGCTAATTGTTTTGACAGGAGGTACTTATTATGGAAATTTATAAGCACAGGACCCATAAAATGAAAAACAAGTTTAGCAAAATCAGAAATGGCTCCAAGGACTGAGAACAAAATAAGAGAAAAAGGGCGGGGATTGGGGGGGTAGGGATAAAGTGAAGAAAACAAGCACACATTCAAAGGCACTCAACAAGGATATCACTTCTACTTAAGAATTAAACATTAAGGTATTTCCTACACCTTCCACAGTAATGTCAGTAAAGAATGATTTCATTTCTAATAAACCCAAGATAGTACAGAATTTTCAAAGCAGTTGTATGTACACTCCACCAAAACAGATGCATGAAACATTTTGAGAATATTTTTCAAGAAAGCTAAACAAAAGCATAAGACTTTAAAAGCTAACATAAAATCAGTTAACAAAAAAATTAACCAAAAAAGGGAAAGATTTTCTCTAACCTGTCTCATTTAGCAATATATAGTTTACTGCCAAGTGCAGTACAATGACAAACACAATTTGCCAAAAATTCAACACATTAAAAAAAAAAAAAAAAAATCAATCATCCTACTACTGCTAGCATGTGCCAAGAATTTACAAGAGATCACAGTTAGAGATCACAATTTTTCCTTTAGGGGGTAGGGGAGAAAAAAAACACAACTGAATTCTTGGTGGAGGACTCGATTTTCAGACATTACATCCACTTGTAATTTAAACAATCTTATTTAAAAACAATTCATTCCACAGTCTCCTGTACAAAATATTTTCATCATGGCTGCCTAAACTATATATATTTGGCCTACTATACCTATGGAAACAGAATAAAATATAGACAAGCTGCTTAACAAGAACATAACTTGTTACAGTAGAAATAACTACTCATTCTAGGACTCAACAATTTCATTATGGTTATGAGATTTGAGAGAAACTATCTGATCAGAAAGAAAAGGATTCTGAGCATCTGAAAAACAACTTCCCTTTTCTTCTTTTTTAATTAAAGTAATGCTTTATCTGGCAAATTATTAAAAATTTAAGATTTTGAGAAGATCAACAAACACTTAAATAAATACCAGTCAATCTGGTAATGAGGGTAGCAGGGTGGGAACAGAAGTTCACTGGATTAGATAATGGGGAATGAAGGGAAGTGGGAAGAGGAATGAAGGGAATTGAGGGGGGATGAGAATAAAACAGTAAAATGAATAGAATCTAACTTTCCTATGTTCATATATGAATACAACACCAATGAAACTCCACATCATAAACAACTCCAAAAATGGGATACTAATTAAAAGTTATACTCCACGTATGTTATATGTTTAATATGTCAAAATATACTCCACTGTCATGTAGATCTAAAAAGAATTTTTAAAAAGCCAATCTGGTAATCAAAAACTTTAAAGTATTTATGCTGTACTGGTGGTTTTAATTTAAATACAATTATAATGTGCAAAAAAATATTTACTTGACAGTACTTTCAGTGCCCAAATTTCGTTTCCTTTTATATGATCTAGAGCTCGGAAAGTTAACATTTTAAAAGAGTATGTGGATGACTTAATTTCAAGAGGATTCAACAATCCCAAAAAGTTTCCCAACATGATCCCTTGGCTGGCCTTATACTTCTCACTAATCAACACATTATTATTTGAGAATATTACTCAGAACCAAGTAGTGAATGAATGAACTAAGAGGTTTTTTCAAGTTATTAGAATACCCTATGGAATAAGTTCTCTTTGGGTATTTTTGTTTCATTGCATTAGAACACTTACCACAGCATTACCAAAACCTATTAATATTTTCAATGCAATGTTTCTGAACATAACCTTACTTAGAGTCAAGATGCCTTTTTGTTAAATACACAAAATACATAGTTTATGAATCTTCAACTGCATGCGCCTACTATAATTTTAAATGAGAAATGTTTAATGTCCACCAAGATAGTGGTAAATTATGCAGCAAAGTCAGTGAGAATAATGCCACAAATATTGACAAGCTGATTTAAGCTGCTAACGCTTTTAAAGAAAGATAAGCTATCTTACGAAAGTAGTGAACCTCTAATAAAACATCCACTTTAAACGTGAACTTATAAGTAAACTTATAGAACTAGGTCTACAATGTAGAAATTCTGCAAAAATTACCTGGACTATTATCTTCAAAACAGAAACATAAAACAAAGTTTCATTTCAAATATAAAAAGTCATACATGTGAACCCAAGAAACCCAGGTAATTTGCTGGTTAAAAGCACTGCTGCCTCAATCACCAAACTCTTCAGATAAAATCTTAAGTCATCTTTTTACTATTGGTAAAGAAAAAACATTTTTTCAACATATCTACCAACTGCCTTCTCTAGTATTCCAGATATTACAACATTTCTTCCAAAAGGAAAATGAAGAGAATCTACGAACTATCCTGCCCATCTTTCCCAACTTCTTATGTACCCTCTTTCACAAATCTAACATTTATAAGTAGTAAATGTAGATTTATTTTTAAATATAATGTACTTCCTTATTTAAATACATAAATAAAGAACTGAAAGAGTAAAGTACCTCTGGTTCCATCATGCCAATTTGGCCAGTTGCCCATAAAGAATTTATATAGAATTTTCTCAAACCAACAAATTTGGAAATACCAATAAAAATGTATCTCAAATACGCCAATACAACTTTGCTGGAAAAATTAAAAAAAAAAAAAACCAATCTAGAAAAAAATGGCATCTTTCCAAAGAAAAATCAAGGTCAAATGGATTGTGTTTGGAGGCAACAAAAAATATTCTTAAGCACTTTCCAATTATTAGTCCTTAAAGTGTAAGTGTGAATCACATATTTGGTCTTGTCTATTTCTCCATATAACTCCCAAAATCCTTGGGATGTCCAAAGAGATAGCAGGTTTTCTATACTAATAAACTGAACTGATGGCTGACAGGCCCCAGGTAGCTTCAGAATGGGGGCTAGTCACTGGAAAGACCAAGGTGGGATTAAAGAGTTGGTACTTTCAACCTCTGGAGTGGGGAGGTTAACTGAAGGTTAAGTTGATCACCAAAGGTCAAAGACATAATCAACCTTGCCTATGTAATCAAGCTTTCATAAAAATTCAAAAGGACAAATTCAGAGAGGTTCAGGACACTTAGGCAAACCCAGGGAGGGGAGGGAAGCTTCAAAACCCCTTCTTCCATCCTCTGCATGTTTGTATCCTTTGTAATTTCACTGATTTAAAAAAACTGGTAAAGGTACAATAGCATTTCCCCGAGTTCTATGAACCATTCAAGCAAAAGAACTGAGACTGAGGAAAGGGTTTTAGGAACCTGATTTATAGCCAGTTGGTTAGAACAGAGGTAAAACAACCTGGAGCTTACATTTAGCACTTGAAATGGAGAGGGGTGTCAGTCTTGGAGACGGGGTCCTCAACCTGTGGGATATGACACTTTTCCCAAGTAGACAAGAATTGCATTTAGAGGACGTCCACCTGGGGTTCACTAAAATTGACTGATTGCAGGTAAGGAGAAGCCCTAACATTTTTTCAAGTCACTGATATTTTCTGTGTTGAACGTTGCAGTGAGAACACAGGAAAAAGTACTTTTCTAACAGTAAGAAATCTTACATGGAAGGTGAGGAAGAGTATCGGCATAGAGGTGGTTGGTGATAAGCTGATGTGTTATACTGGATAATGTACATGTGGAAATGAGCTATTCTACTTTTGTAYGTATTTTGAGTATTCCAGAATAAAAATAGTGAGTTCTTTATTAAAAAAAGAAAAGAAAGAAAGAAAAAGATTGGAGTATGCTGTGCTCAATGTCTGATTAAAAGCCACACTATGGGGCACAGTGGCACGCACCTATAATCCCAGCAGCTCGGGAGGCTGAGACAGGAGGATCACAAGTTTGAAGCAGCCTCAGCAAAAAGAGAGGCAATGAACAACTCAAGTGAGACCCTGTCTCTAAATAAAATACAAAAAATAGGACTGGGGATGTGGCTCAGTAGTCCCGTGCCCCCAAATTCAATCCCTGGTATCAAAAAAAAAAAGCCACTATAAATTCCAATAAAGCTAACTAAATTAACTACATATTTATGGCTACTTATTAAAAACAACAAAATCTCAACACTCAAGCCATATAGTTTCAAAAGAATTTTACTCACTCTGAAGAAGTACTGGTATGATGTTACAAATACGATGTCTTATAGTTTTTCCTTAATAAGGTTTCCAAGAAAACTAGCATCTTTTGAGCTAAAGCAACATAACACTATATCAGAAATTCCTGCTTTTTTTTCCTTTTCTACTAGATACATGTATCTACCTACCTAAAACTAGGGAAAAAGATAAATGGAACATAGGCACCAATATACAAACAATTATAATCTCTCCAAAATAGGGATTCACTAAGTCGTCTTTGCCCCAACATTTCTCAAGAATGACATAATGCATGCAGGCAGTCTACTCACAGGGATACATGGCATTGCTCAGGATCAGCTCTGGTCAATTCTTCCTCTTCAATATCAGACTCCCCTCCTGAACTACTGTCAGTGATGTCTGAATCAAATGCTTGTTCACTGCACCGCAAGTTGGCTATGCCACTAGCTGTAAATCTCTCCAATTCTTCTGAAATTGAATCGCTTTTCAAGAAGTTGCTAAGTCCCTCTGAAGTGGTAGTTTCACTGGCAGCTTTTCTCAAGGCAGCTTCAGCCTTTCGGGTCAGCATCAACTGGCTCCGGGATCTCAAGGATTCCAAATTTGGCAATTTGCTCAAAGTTTTCTCTAAAAATCCACCCAGCTGATGCTGCAAATGCCTCTCCACTTGCTTGGCTTGTACAACCTGTAAGCGCTTCTGTAACCTACGGGCACGGCTCTCAATATCAGCCTGACGCCTCAATAAAGCTGTTATCCTTGTATCAGAATCTAAAGCACTGAAAAGAATGGAAGACAGGGGAGACTTTTTGCCCTCTAACTTGACATCCCCCAAGTTAGAGCTGGAGTCTGTACCAGGTGATAACCTACTGCTTCCTTGAAGTGCTGGCTGTTCCATGGAATTGACAGAAGATTTGTTTGCAGTGCTATTATTGCTATATAGAGTTGTGTGTTCTACATCAAGGCTTCTGTGTGGAAGAGTGCAATTGGTCATACCCCCCTTTATGTCCCCAGAGTCAGTTACCGCCACTTCACCTCCCTGAAGAGCAGATGAAGTGAGAGCCCGTTTTCCCTCATTGAGGGAACTGGAATTGTCATGATCAGAATGTGTTGAACTTTTAGTCAATTTCTTAGCCAACCCATTTACAGGCGCTTGTGGCAGAGCTGTCTGACCACTTGTATTCATGGTTCTAAGATTTTCTAAGGAAAACTCCAAAACTGGCTGTCTCCCCAACAGCTCAGCTCGGAGTTCATAGGATTGAGATAACAGAGAATGAGATTTAAGGACTGTCTGCTTGCTGAAGACCCCTTGCAATTTCAAAGACTCTTTTGAAGGAACAGATGTTACATCAGAGCAGAGGTAAGATGCCACCAGTGGTTGCAGCTTTCCCAAGTCTTCCTTGGTAGAATTACTTCGGAAGTCTAGACTAGGATCCTCTGCAGCAATGGCTTTTCTTTTGGTTCCGTTGGCAGCAATAAGGATATTGGCGTTGCCGTTATTTTCGGCACTGCCGGGGGACAAGGTGGAGGATGGGGGAGCCAGTTTGAACCGGATGTGATGTGCTTCAGCTGCTGCATCGGTGAGAGCGGGCGCCATCGCAGCCATTCAGCACAGAGAGACAGGAAGTCCAGCCTCTCTCGATGCCGGTGCCGAGGCCAGCTCCACAGCCTCTTACTGCCTCCCCTGAGAACAGACTAGAAGAAAAAGAAGAACAGTTAGAAATACAAAAACACTGAATAACATACATTTTTCATACATACACTATTTAAGGTATTATCCAAACTCTGCCTCCAGGAAGAAAACACTTTGGAGCACTGAATGTCTTTCATCTGGAGGGATGAAGGGAACGCAATTCCTGAACAAGACAAARAATTCTACCCTTCTTTTTGCCACTTGGAAACCAGATTTAAAGTTGCCAAAACAGAAGTTCCATTCAGCGATAATCACAAATTGTTAAATCATTTGTATGTAAAACAAAACTCTCCAAACTTCTTGGGAATCAATGGATTTAAAGCAAATATATCAAACTAAACATCCTGAAATAGCAAAATATTAGTAAGGAACTCCTCATGCTTACAAAAAAAAAAAAAAAAAAGTAAGCCAAATGTCATAGGTTTGTACACTTTTCTGGCCAGAAATCCAATTTTCATCAGCTTCTTCCCACTTCTCTGTAAGTACAGTCTGTAATACAAGGATAAATGTACCACTCCTACAATAGCAATTTTTTTTAATTTTTTAATATTTATGTTTTTAGTTTTTGGTGGACACAACATCTTTGTTTGTATGTGGTGCTGAGGATCAAACCCAGGCGGCACGCATGCCAGGCCAGCGCGCTACCACTTGAGCCATCCCCAGCCCCCTACAAAAGCAATTTGCTTCAACAAATTTCTTTCATATCAGAGCACTCATTAATGTCTTCTATACTGGCTCCTTCCCTTCAGCCTAAGAATTTACTCAAGTCTCCTCTGTCCTCAAATTAATTGCCCAACAAGTCTCATTCCCTTTAACCAGAAACTCCTTTAAAGAATATTAAAAACAGCTGCCTCTATACTATTTCCTTTTCCATAATCTAGATTCCATCCCTACTGCTCTGACAAAGGTCACTAGTAGGATCATTTTCAAGTTCAATGATCAAGTCTGTGTCTCCTTTCTTGACTTCTTCCAAACATTAGCATTGGGCATGCTGACCTTCCTGAAAATCTCCTTTCAACACCCAGATTATTAAAATATGCACGCCAGGGTACTTGTCCTTAACACTACTATCATTCTGTTCTTTCTCCTGCCTACCCCTTTAAATGCTGATACTCCCAGCCCCAAGAGTCTCAATTCATTTCCTTGGCATCAATTATAGCATGATGGGAGGGGCTGAGGTTATGGCTCAGTGGTAGAGTGCTCACCTTGCACATGGCAAGGTCCTGGGTTTGATTCTCAGCACCACATAAAAATAAATAGGTAAGGGCTGGGGTTGTGGCTCAGCATTAGAGCGCTCACCTCCCATGTGCAAGAACCTGGGTTCAATCCTCAGCACCACATAAAAAATAAATGAATAAAATAAAGGTATTGTGTCCAACCTACAACTAAAAAATAAATATTTTTTAAAAATAAATAGGTAAATAAAATAAAGTTAAAAAAAAAAAAGTCTCCCAACCAAGATTTTGGAAAAAACAAATTATAGCATGATGAAGCTTTCTAACCCTCAAAAAAAATTTTTTCTGAGCTATACTAATCAACATTCCCACTCCTAATCCCTAAACTCCCTGAATCTCAGAACTCCCTTTCTTCTTCCAACACACTTATTCCTCACCCTGTTTCATTATCTTAATTAATAAAATCATTTTTATTTATTTAATAACCAAGCTAGAAACTTCAATTATTTGCCTCTTCTTCATCTCTCTTAATTTGATCTGGGAGCAAAGGGAAACCTATGTAAGTCATCTAGTCTTAAAATATGGTCTCTGGAATTATTATGGGGATCTCAAAGACCATTTTGGTTTTTATTTGTTGGGATTTTTGCTTTTTGTTTTTTGCAGTGATGGGGATCAACCCAGTACCTTGCATGGGTGCTACACATGTGCTCATCCACTGAGCTACATTCCCAGCCAAAAAGACCATTTTGGAGGTCCATGTTTTCACAGTAATACTAAAACATTGTCTTTTTCACAGCGTTGACACCTACTCTTCAGTAAGAGTGCAAAACCAAAGATGAGCAAAACTGCTGGTATGTTAGAACAAACTATACTAAGAGTCATGTATTCTCCACTTGCAGTTAAAAGAAAGCAAGCTCCACTTAAGATGTTCTTGATAAAGCAGTAAGAATTAAAAATTTTATTAAATCTTAACCCTTGAGTACATGTTTTAATATTGTGTACTGAAAGGGAAAGTACGGGTAAAGCACTGTGCTGCTTTATGAAGTCTGAGGGAAAAGCACTTATACAATTGAGTTACAAAGCTGAACTAGTTTTCTACATGGAATACTATTTTTATTTGGCAGAAAGACTGACAAATTTTCTCAAAGCTAAACAAAGTGAATCTGTCACTTCAAGGAAAATCATTGACAATATTTTTATTGTTGGGCTGGGGTTGTGGCTCAGTGGTAGAGCGCTTATCTAGCATGCATGAGGCACTGGATCCGACCCCTGGCACCACATAAAAATAAACTTTAAATAAAATAAAGGTATTGTGTCCATCTACATCTAGAAAAAAGTTTTAAAATTTTTTTAAAAAGTTTGTTGTCAATGATAAAAAAGTGAGATTTCAAGCTAAAATTAGTATTTTGAACTTGGATCCACCTCATAAGCTTGAACATTTCTCCAATACTTAAAAAGCCATTTCTAATTAAACAGATTTGTGGTGATAGTAATCAATGTAAATATCTAACATCATATAATACAATATTCACATTTGAAAGCTCTGCATAATCCCCTAGAAAACTATGTATGGGGTCAGGCACAGTAGCGCATGCCTGTAATCCCAGCGGCTTGGGAGGCTGAGACATGAGGAACTCCAAAGCCAGCCTCAGCAAAAACCAGGAGCTAAGCAACTCAGTCTCTAAATAAAATTGGTCTCTAAATAAAATACAGAACAGGTCTGCAGAAGTAGCACAGGGGTCGAGTGCCCCTGAGCTCAATCCCTGGTGCCAAAAAAAAAAAAAAAAAAAGAGAGAGAGAGAGAGAGAAAAGAAAAACCATGTATGGATAAAACCAAGTGCAAGACAGACCACTGGATCTTAATATAACAGTATGAAAAGTTAACTGATACAATTTTAGCTTCCATGTTACAACCAGCCTTTATAAAACTTTGGGTGAAATGTCATAAAGATAGTCACAGGTATTTGATTTAAAAAAAAATACTCAAATAGTCCTTTTCAAATCTACTTTTCTGATGAGCAGATTTTTTCTTTTTTTAGTGCTCAGGATTGAATGTGGGGCCTTGCACATGCTAGGCAAAAGCTCCACCAAGCAACATCCCCAGTATTTCCTTTATATACTTCCACCTAAACCACATATCATAATATGCATGTAGAAGACATGAGTACCCAGTTGTTTTCTATTAAGCCAATTATTAAAAAGATCTGCCAAAAATGTAAAATAATGCCTTTCATTAAGCTTTTGCTTTGGCCAAAAGTTATTTTTCATAATAAGTAATGGGTTTATTATTTTAAAATGAAGTAGTAGATAATTATGTTTAAAATTTCTCAAAGTCTCTAATAAAACGAGTATGTATAGATAATAACCCAAAAAAGGGCTGGGGATGTGGCTCAAGCGGTAACATGTGGCCCAGGTTCGATCCTTAGCACCACAAAGATGTTGTGTCCGCCAAAAACTAAAAACTTATATATATATATATATATATATATATATATATTCTCTCTCTCTCTCTCTTACAAAAAAAAAAAATAATAATAACCCAAAAAAGCTCTTTGTGCCAGTAATTTTTAAGAGTGAAAAAAGAGTTGGGTGTGGTGGCACAAGCCTATAATCCTAGCAACTCCATAGACTGAGAAAGGAGGACACAAGTTCAGCCAGTCCCTGCAACTTAGCAAAACTCTGTCTCAAAAGAAAAAATAAGGACTGGAGATATGCTCAGCAGCACCGTGACCCTGAGTTAATTACCCAGTATTTAAAAAAAAAAAAAAAAAAAAAAGGTAAAAAAGTCCTACAATCAAAGTTTATGAATACATTATGCAATCCTCCAATTTTGCCATTTTCATTCAATACCTACGTGGGATGATAGGCCCTACAGAACTACACTAAGCTTCTTTATAGTATGACAATTCAAATTATTAATATAAAAATACTAAATTATTGAGAAAACATTATTCCTAGAAGCACCCACACACACGCAGGCCAAATTTGTATACTGCTCTAAATGCTCTAAGTTTCTTATCTAGGGTTGTGTTTTAATGAACTTTCTATAAAAGGAGGTCTTTGGGGCTTATATTTTTATTTTCATGGACTTTTTGGTTTGCGGCATTCTGTGTGACACAAACTGTTCTATGTTCACTTTTTGCAATTCTGATTTTAAATTCAATACTAATTCCTAACAGAACATAAATGGTTGTTATAGATCAATYGACAACTGAACTAATAGAAATTATTTGTTCAAAATACTGTGTTTTACAACATACAAAGCATTTTCCCATAAACAAAAAATCACTATCAGATCTTTCCCATCAATATCCTATTCTTTTGACTACCAATACACAGTTGATATATCAGCAATGCAAGGAGGCATATTATCAGTGACACAATTAGTACAACAAGTGGAAAAAATTTGCTGTACCTTACTTCCCAAAAGCACTAAAGTCTCAGCAATGGCAGGAAAACAGTCTTCTTTCTGGGGACCCAGACAAAGAAAAAAAAAAAAAACTTACACAAAATAGAAAAACACAGGTTCACCCAACAAAAATAAAAGAAGGGTCACGATGGGTATACTGGTGCATGCCTGTAATCCCAGCTCCTCAGGAGGCTATGGCAGGAGGACCATAAGTTCAAAGCCACATTCAGCAACTTAGCAAAGCCATAAGCAATTCAGTGAAACCCTGTTCTCTAAATAAAATACAAAAATAGCTGGAGATGTGACTCAGTGGTTAATTGCCCCCAGTTCAATCAAAAAAAAAAAAAAGTGGGGGGGTTCATAATCACCATCATACCACTGAAGGTATTTTATTTTAGAATTATTCGATTCTTTAAAG